TCACCCAACCAGATTTCTGGGTTAGTTTAACCCCAAAACACTTTTTTTTTCACAAAAAATTGTTAACTTGGTTAGAAACCTGATAACCTGACTCATGGAATTGTTTGACCTGGTTAGTGAGTCATAGGGTAAACATTAATTATCATTTGTATTATTATTATTTTGTTCTATTTTTAGCCATTCCTTCATTAGTAACAATAATTATTTTTTTTCAATACTTATTTTTGTTTAATACGATGAATATGTAATATTAAAGACATACCCAAATTTTCTATAAATTTTATGAATTTTTTATTTATATTTTATTAATTAATTTATGATATTACAAGTTGACTTGTTTGACCAAGATAGTTGAACTGCTGATTGACCAAGTCAGAGGGAAATATTCTTCCAATCAGTTTTTAGAACATTAGCTTTTTTTCTTTCTTTATTTATTAGTGTTTTTCAACCTATAGTTGAATTGGTTGATTAGATAGATCGACCATCCACCTGAGTAGGATTAGAGGTTCATTTCACCCATCAAACTGCTTGCTTACAAAAAGCTATGTCGATGACCTGGTGACCAACTAGTTGAACTATTTGATAAGGCCAATGGGATCATGGGTTAGATATTATTATTTTTTAATTATTTTATATTCCATTTTGATCATTAAGAAAAATAATTTTTATTTATCACACTTATTTTTGTTTAATATGATGAATATAATATTAGTGGGTTTCCTTTATTTTTCTATGAAGTTTCTGTATTTTTGTATTTCATTCTTTTTTTTTTAATTTGTATTATTTGGCTTTGATGTCATGGGTTGACCCATTGGACTTGGATGATTGAACTGATGACATGCTTACCTAGATGGAAAAGCACTTCTGTTTCTGGGTTGGTCTTAAAAATATTGGTTTTTATACCATTTCATTATTATGTATAAGTTAATTAGAGGAATTTAAGGGTAAGAAACAAAAATGCCTTAAATATATGAGTTAATGAGAATCAATACCTTAAATATTGTAGTTAATTCAATGTTTTAAAATTTTCAGGCATGACACAAAACATTCCACTACCAGAGGCATGAAGTTTAGTTTTTTTTTTTTTTTTCTTATTAGAAACAATAACTTTCATTAGAGATAAATTAAACTGAAATACAGAAGTCAATCCTTATTAGAAAAGGTTGATCCAAAAACATCCAACATTACAGCACTGCCCAGTAAAGTCTCTCCCTTAGAGTCCCTTGTTTTGCTAGGGCATCAGCAAAACCATTTGCTGATCTCCTTACCCAGTTGAAACAAACACCCACCTCCCTTGTTATGCTAAGTATTTCCCTTATCAGCTGTCTATACTGCCAAATTCCCAGCTTCCCTGATTGCATCCACCCAATTACCAATTTGGAGTCCCCCTCTATCTCAATCTGCTGTAGCCCCAATTGTTTGGCCAGTTTTACACCTTGATGTAGTGCCAAGATTTCTGCTCTTAAGGAATCTCCAACTCCTACTGGACCTGAATACAGAGCCATTATCTTGCCTTCATTATCTCCCAAAAACACCTCCTATTACAAGATGGGCCCGGATTACCTATAGAGGCATGAAGTTTAGTTCTAGAATGGAATAAGCATAAGCCTCTTAAGCACAAGGAAGCATAAGTAGGGGTGAGCATTCGGTTTGTCTGGTTAAAAACTGAACCAAATAAACCGAACTTTTAAAAACCGATTAACATTTTTGAAAACCGAACAACCCAAACTGAATTTTTTTTTGTTATTTCAGTTTGTTTGGTTAAAATCGAAATCCATTAATTGTGATACTTTACTAGTCTTAGAGAGAGAGAATTTTCTGCCAGTAAACTGATACCTTAGCTACAGTGTGCRAAAACTATAGCAACTTTGGTTTTGTAAGATTTGAGCTGGCTTAAGCTCCCTTTTGGAATACCACTCCTATTCGAGGAGGGGAAAAAGAAACTAAGAAAGAAAACTCTTCTTTGTTAAACTAGCTAGTGAATAGTTTCGAAGTGGGTGCCTATTTAATCACTTGATAGGTGGGATCAAATATTTGATCTATCAAAGATAAAAGAAAAAAAAAACGATGGATGTAAGTACTTGAGTGATGTGGTTTAGACATCATACTTGAACCAAATTCAGAGATTTCGTTTCACCGGTGCTGAATAAGGTAGGTCACAGTCACAATTGCAGGCTGGGCTCTGGAGCAGTTGAACTGGAACTCGCCGCTGCCACAAGGCTAACCGATGTTGCCGGTGGTAGGAATGTAGGATAGCGGAAGACGAAGCTCAAAGGTGAAGGTCACCGACAGCCTGACGCTAGAGTTTTAGTTTTACAGAGGGAACTGGGAGTCTAGGAAGACGAAGGTTGAACAAGGCGAACTTGAAGGCTGAAGTGAAGCAGGGGTTTTGCCGCCATATTGGTTTTGGCCGCCTAAGGAATAAGGATCGAGTAAGTATTAGAGAGAGTAGAGTATTTGTAATTTTACCTATTTACCCTAGAATTTCGGTTTAATCGGTTAACCGAACCACTAAGTGCCCTAACTGAACACCGAACTCTTACAAACCGATATTTACACCCGAAACCAAACCGATTCCCCGAAATAACCGAACCAAAAACACTGAACCCGAAATTCGGTTTGGTTATTCGGTTTTAACCGAACTATGCTCACCCCTAAGCATAAGCCTCCTCAACAGGACGGGTTTCTTTCTCTGTCTTGAGGCATACCACAATTATATTCCTCATGCAAAGGGCATTTGATGTGTATTGCTTCAAAGGCATCCACACCTTCAACATATGCTTCCAGGTGTTTTGAGCGTGCCTTGCTTGGAGGTGCACCTTAAAGGGTACACCTCAAATGCCTTTTAAAATATTGAGTTAGAGAGAATAGGATGAACTGAAAAGCAGTAGTTCAAATTTTTTTTTCTGACCGTACAATATGGGGGGGGGTGCAAATTCAGAAATAGAGGTATTTTAAGTCAAGGAAAATTCTGGAAACACTCAAGATCAATTCCAACTTTTTATAGTAATAAATATAGATATGTATATATATATATATGTGTGTGTGTGTGTGTGTGTGTGTGTGTGTCTATATGGAGAGAGAGTAGGTTTGCAACACTCTTGCTTGAAAGTATAAAACAAAAATCACAAAATTGCCATTCTCTGACTTCAGCTTGAAAGAACTGAAATAAGTAGTAAGTTACTCAAGCTAGGAGTCTGAAATTTAAACATTAACCAACTATTACAACATTAATCAGACTCTTAGGATGAGTCCACATAAAACATGCAAACTGACCAAGGTACCCCTATAGTCCAAAAAAATTACAAAAATAAATAAATAAATAAATAGATAGATAGATAGATAGATAAAAGCCCAGTTTTTGGGCTCTGGTATCATGGAATAGGGATCAAGAGAGTTAATATGGTGAGTATTGGGAGATGGGTGTCCCACTCAACATAGATGAGAGAGCTACTTAAAAGATGAGTAAGATTTCCTAGTTGAATGAATCTGCACCAAGGATTCATGTTGTGCCTTGTATCCTTTTGTATTCTTATTGTCACGACTTGATCGTTCCCATTGGCTAAGTTGTGTAGCACTCACTTGGCCCTCCAAGCAAGTCAGCCAAACTGCACGCCCAAGACCCTTCTTGTCCTTCTTTGAGTTGTAAGCTTTCTTCTAGTGTAGTACAATCTCTTCCTCTTACAATACTTGGTGTGCTCTTGTGTGCCTTGGTGTGTGTCCTCAGCACTTAATCAACCTAGCAAGAAGGGTCTTGGATGTGCAGTTTGGCTGACTTGCTTGGAGGGCCAAGTGAGTGCCACATGACTTAACCAGCGGGAACAATCAGGTCGTGACATTATGGTGTGGTTCTGTGGTTTGTGTTCTTTGCAGATGAGGTAGCTTAACGGAAAAATGTTTTTTGTTTCCAGGTTAGTTTTAAAAATAATGATTTTTTATACCATTGAATTGTGGTATAAAGAGTTAATTAGTGGAATTTAACTTATTTGCAAAGAAAAGACCATATTAAAAGAAGACCCAAAAATTTATGCTTGAAAAGAAAATTTTGTTTCCTAAATAAAGTATAATGGTGGAGCAGGATCAGATTAGCCGAATCTTAGCAGTTAGGTGATTGCTCTGGCAATGATGATAAAGTTTCACTGATAAAACTTTTAGTTTATCTTGAACATGTATATTTTTGGAATGGAGATTTATTCTTCAATTCCTTTATGAAAATTGATAGTTATGATGTACTTGAATGACAATCTATGATACCTCGAGAACTCTACATGCCTAGTGTATTGGTATTTGACATAATAATTATTGGACACTTCTAGATGTACCTCTAGCATAAAGACTCCTTGGTATGTCTTAAGAAATTATATTAAAAGAAGAATCTTTACATGTTAGAAATTTAATTAAATTTGGCAAGAAATGAGTCCTGTGGAATGATATTCAGATTAAAAAATCTAGATATAGAAGAATGATATAAGCATATTACATGGAATACGTCGTTTTCATATCCTAGATTTTAGGAAGATTGCAAAGGAGGTTGAGGCTGAATTTAAATGGGTCCGAAGAAGTGCAAATGAGCTAGCTGATGGTTTAGCAAAATAGGGGGCATTGAGACAGCAATTGTTTTGGGCTGCACTGTAATGGGGGATAGAATAGAGTGATTAAAGGGGATCAACAGTCCCATCACCAAGTTGTATAAACTGTTTACAATCTGAATTTTAATAAAATATGTTTACTGATAAAAAAAATGTCCTAGATTTTAGGAAATGGAGAGTTGTATCCCTGTTTTCCATATTCGAGTCTGTGTCCATATCCATATTGGTTTCTAGTCATCATCGATCATAATCTGTTTGGATGACTATTTGCCAGTTCTTGCTTACAGGAACAGGGTAGATGATTGTAATTATGTAGCATTCATCAAGTTCTTTTTTTTTATGATTATCTACAATTTTCTTACCTTATGTTACCTTTGATAGAGGCAATGAATTCAGCTATTGTTTATGCAGGCCTTAAAGAATGCATGAGAAGAGGATATTCCTACACAGACGGTGTTGAAACATTACTTCGTAGGTTGAAGCAAAACAACTATGAAATGCATGCTTTTACAAACTATCCTTCCTGGTATGATGATTATAGTTTAATGATTTTTTACTGCAAAGAGTTCCAATAATTTTCTTTTAATTGTTTTTGCAGGTACACAATTATTGAAGACAAGTTAAAGATCTCAAAATATTTATCTTGGACCTTCTGTTCGTGCATAATAGGTAAGACTTCTAGTTTGTTTTGGTCTTGATATTTTCTTTTTTTTTCATTTATCTTTCATTAATTTTTTATACATAAAATATCCCTTAAATATCATGTCAACTATTTTTCATGTTCGATCATCAACAAATAACTGTTTTATATGCCACAAGTCTGTTTAGCTTCTCTTATTCAAACTGCACTGACACCAGGGGCATCTTCCATTATTGTAACTTAGTGGATCATCATGATTAATTTTCGCAGTCATTGTGTCTATGTGTTTTGATGTAATCACTTTTGGATCATATCAACAAAGCAGTGATTTTTATTTTCCATATGAACATCTTTGGGCTGGAGTAATCAATATATGGGGATGGGATGTATCTGGACTTTTTGAAGAAGATAGCATGCTAGCTTTGTAATATTAACCAAATATTTGGCTTTATCCAAATATTGGGCTGGATGGGACTTAGTTTGGTTCAGATTTTGTTTATAATTCTTTTGTCTTAATGGGCCTTAGCTCTTGTGGGCCTGTTAAGTTTTCTTCTTTAAGCTATAGGCAGCCGACCAATTAAGAGTATGGATGTAACTATCCATTGTTTAATCAGAATTAATAAAGATCATTAGGAGCAGGAGAGAGTGCGATTGACTCATCTCCTTCCTTTCTCTTATTTTTCTCCTTTTCCTCCTATTCTGAATTCATATTCTCTTTCTTCTTTCTTTCTTGATTATTTCTACAATTGGTTTTATACTTGGTATCAGAGTAGTTCAAACTTGTTTTTCTTTTTTTCTCTAATCCCATACGCAGTGTGTGTGGAGAACTAAGTTGGTGATTGATTGAAGATTCGTGTGGCCTAGTTGGTAGAGGTTTTCTGGAGAAATACTCTCTCAAATTGGTACCCATGAGAAGTTTTGGAGATTTTTACCCGAAACCCCTGCCAATTAAAGAAAACCAGTTAAGGGTCCAACCTAGCGCTCAAGGCTTAAAATGAAGCTTGTGCATCACCTTAGAGATTGATCCAAGTTTCCCGGAGTTCTGGAATTCCTACAAGGAGCGATTATGGTTTTCACTTTTCCCTCAGGTCCCAGGTTTTGTGCATCCCTAGTTCTAAGACATATTAAGGTCAATATTTGGTTGTTTTGTGTTCCTATCATCCCTATTGGTTATTTGAAAACACTTTCTCTAAGTTTTAGAGTAATGGAGAACTTAGAAGTAGAGATTAAGCAAACCTCAGTCCAGACTGGGTCCAAGATCTTCTATAGACCCTCTTTTGACAGTGACCACTGTGAAGTAGAGGAAAGTGGGGTTACATCTCTGGTAGCAAGAAGAAGACTAAGGAGGATTATCCCTCCTATGAGAAATGGATGAAGGAGAACTACAACGTCATAGGTTGGCTTGTGAATTCTATGTAGTCCCATATCAACCAACATTACTTGTGGGTGGACTCTGCAAAGGAGATTTCAGATAGTGTTGCAGAGACATACTCTCTAAAACTGCATAGATTTGGGTTAGAGACTACTTTATGCTGAAATCTATTTGGCAAGAAATAGACTTAATGGAGATAGTTGTTTGAGAGAGTACTAAAGATGCTGAGAAGGCTTGTGGAAAGAAATAGGACATTTGAATTTTTGATAGGGCTAAATCTAGAATATGATATTATCAGGCAGAACACCTTGGCCTAGGATGATGTGACCTTGTCTCGGGCTTATGCTATGGAATACGGATGGTAGCAAGGAAGATAGAAGGCAGTTCAGGTTCAGGGAACAGCTCCAGTAGATCATTTTGCTAATGTGATGGTGAAACTTAAGATGAAAGCAGGTGGGGAGAAGAATACATCATTTGCTAGTATTGCAAGAAACCGAAACATACAAGACACTTGTTGGAAGTTACACCCGCACCTTTTGCAAGCTCGATTTATAAATTCCAACAATAATAATGCTGGAAGTGGAAAGAGTGGGACTGCTAATGCAGCCATTGCTCCAGATGGTGAAAAGGGTCCTTGTGATGAGAAGATAGCTATTGAGCAGTTGGCAATAGTGAAATCTGAATTTGAGAACTATGGGAGGTTGATTAATCATCTTGAGAATACAATTGCAGCTTCAAACTCTTCAGGGAATTCGATTTCCATTGCCTTTGCACACTCAGGTACTCGTGCTATTGTCAACCATGCAACTCTCAAGTAATCCTAGGATCCATTGGATTATTAATTCCTGAGCTTTTGATCACATGACTAGTGTTTCTACCCTTTTTGGTTCTTACAACTTGCTTTCTAAATGACATAAAATAACTCTAGTCGATGGCTCTCTTGCCCCCATCTCAGGCAAGGGAGACATCAAGACCTCAAATAACTTTACCCTCATCTATGTCCTTTATGTCCCTAAACTTAACACCATCCTTTTATCTATTAGTAGCCTAACCAAATTCTTAAATTGTCGTATTACTTTTTTCCTTGCATATTCTGTTTTTTAGGATCTGCAATCACAAAAAGTGATTGGGAGTGGTGATGAGGCAAACGGGATATACTTGTTGGATGTTCTTGAGCGAATCCAAGAACCACCTCTAAAAGTTGCTTTTGGTTCCATTACCTTATCATCCATTAGTCATATTATGTTACGTCACTTTTGTTTGGGTAATTTGTCCTTGTGAGCCTTGAGTCATTTGTTTCCAAGTTTATTTAAAGAAATAAGTCTATCAAGTCTACATTTGTGAGTCTTGAAAATTCTCAAAGTGTAAGTACATGGATTTAGACATGATGGGAATTGAGATTGAAGTCATGCAAACACAACACGATGGGACCACACTGTAGTCTAGCCCCATCCTCTCATTGCAACTTGTATTTAACTCTGCAATGCGAAATAAAACCTCATGATTGCATCACAAGGCCACCGTTAGCCCTGGCTAGAAGACCTTGTCACTACGACTCTACTCCACGGATTGACCTTGCATCACACGGGCCTCTTGGCTGCAATGGCATCCTGCCTTAGCGCCACATCACAACAATACAATAGTACGGTCCTTCCATACTCATCTTGCAATGCCACACCAACATTAAGGCATTTTAGAGAAAGAATTCCTACAATGTAACCAGCCTAGCTTTTAGAAGGGGGTAGTAGTTACACTAGTGCTCATGTGCAAACACTGAGGAGAAGGATAGGAACCCAAACCCCGAGATCTCCACATGGACGCGTGACGACACCCCAATTGTCTTGCCTGTTTTAGATCTAACATGATAACAAGCTTTCTTGCTTGGGAAAGTTTCCTTCCTTTAAATGTCTCATGTCTATAAATAGGAGACATTCGAGGCTCTCCTTACCTTCTCCAGAGCTCTTGTGTAAGCTCTGCCAAACTGAAACCATATCATTCCCAAAGCCTACAACTACCTCCCTCCTTTACCCTTATCAGAGCCATCTATTGTCCTTCAAGTAGACCTCTCTACAGCCTTACCCTCCTTGCTTACATTAGAATCATTGGTTCTTTTCCTAATCACAGAGATGGCAGCAAGGAGAATCAATCTGACCCCCATCCCTGAGAACTTCACTAGAGGATCTAGAGCAAAACAACCCAATTCGACTTTGGAGATGGCGGCAAACTTGAGATCCAAGCCAACAAGGTCTACAACCTCATGGATCAGGTGCCAGTATTGAGAATTGACTGGACATCATCCATGCCAACCGTTCATAAGGTAGATCAGATCGATACCTTGGAATGCCAACAGGCTGAAATCAAGGAGTTGCTCATGTAGGTGCTCCAACACCCTCAGGTTCATCCTTGCTTACATTAGAATCTTTGGTTCCTTTCCTAATCACGGAGATGGCAGCAAGGAGAATCAATTTGACCCCCATCCCTAAGAACTTCACTAGAGGATCTAGAGCAGAACAATACATCGAGACCCAATTTGACTTTGGAGACGGCTGCAAACTCGAGATCTAAGCCAACTGTTAGACAGTTATGCCCTTAGCTCCAATCAGATTGATGTATCTTTTGACATTTATTGTAAATGAATAAAGTACATAATTGATTCATGTCATTGCGGTGTGTTTCTGTGTAATACCCTTAAACTAGAAACTTATGAGACTCGTGTTAGTTTAGAATCTTCACAGCCGTTGGATAGATCTGGGGAGATTTATCCTGCCAAGGCTAACATTGATGTACCGCCAAGTTGGTTGGGGTGGCTTGTCTCGGCTACCAAGGTGAGACCTGAGGTACATGTAGTGTGGGTTTTCTTGAAACCCTGAACTGGACCAAATTCCAGTATTGCCCTGGACCTTGGAGATAGATGGGAAAAACTGCAATGTTACACCTAACCCCTAGACTCGATTATGGTACTGCACTAGGTGTCGGATCGGGCTGTCTTTGATATGCCAATTGGTGAGATCCTTAGAGGGGGTCAAAACCTGGGTATGTTGGGATAGTCCGAGAATTCATCTCAGTGGGTGATCATAGTGACAAGATCAGCCCCTTTGTCGGACAAAGTGAATGATCGGGGAATGCACTCTCTCTGATCGAAACCTAAACTGCTAGCAGTTGATTTCAAACGTTAAAGTTTGTTTTTTGCAAAATATGTTTATATAGAGATATACATATATATTATGGTTTCAAAATATTTGCAAAAGGTTTTAATTCCCGGGATCCATGTGAGTAGAGAGTCCAACACTGTTCCTTGCAACCGAGGGAGAGGTCCTCTCTTGTCGGGCAGTGTTTGATCATTATGGGBTRAGAGGTTAAGTGTAAGACCATTGAGGGTAATACCTGATGGGCTAATCTTGCATCTGCCCATAGTCCTTGGATTTTCAT